TCCATCTTTGTGTACTGTGTTACGAGCAGGCTATCACAAAATAAAAAACAAACAAACAAATAAAACAAATCCTTTAGTTGAAGCTACAAACATGGCAAAAGGAGAAGTGACAGACCTAAAAACTATCTACATGAAATGAACAGTATCTGAACATCATGTCCTTAAAAAACAGGAAATAATCCAGCAAAGACCTGACACAGGACCTGAGCGATGCATGTGCTCTTTCCATTCCCCTGCTACTCACCTCATCAGAAACGGTCTCAGTGGAAGGGTGGCTGTCAAGAAGCCATTACTGAGGAAGGGAAATGGAGAGAAAAGGCTGAGGTATGCCAAATTACACAAGAACTGGACTGAAACTCAGTTTCAACAGCCCTTATGTAGTGATGGATCCACATTTAAAATGTTTAGTTCAAATCGCCATGAACATACACAGAGGAGGGAGCCAACACCCAAAGAGGAACTTTGAAATGCCCTTCAAGAAGCCTGGAGAACTATTCCTAAAGAGTAAATACAGAAATTAGGAGAAAGCTTGCCTAAGAAAGTTCGGGCAGAGTTGAATAAAGATGTTCATACCAAACACTGATCTAGCTGTACAAACGCCATTTTTTCCTTTATATAGTGCAATTCCAAAAAAGTTTGCAGAATAAATCCTAGTTCTCCTCGCAAAATATAAAGAAATGAAGAGTGGCTCTGTTCTTCAGAAAAGGACAAACATGGTCATTTGTTAAGATGGTTAAAATAGTGAATGTTTAATTTCACAGGACCTCGAGCGGTTTTCACAACGTGACACTGACATGGAAGCATATAGCAGCAGTGTTGGACAGATTCCTGAAGTACATAAGGAACATTTTAAAGTTGACTTTTTCTCCAAGAATTCGACCATTTGGATAAATCTGGGAGCTAGATATTCCCTGTTTTGACATTTGTGAGATAAGAGCAGAATTGTTGACAGCTGAGTTTGTGTTACTGACACATGCAGACAGAAACAGGAAGATGTTTATAGTACACTTAGTATTAACTGAAGGTCATGTTGATGAGTCTATCACCTTCACAAGGGAGATTAACCAGCTTGAAGCCCGGCACCGAGAATTATCTAATATTTAGTACGAAGAATGTCTGAGGTAAACTCAGTGCACGCATCTTGTGTTTTTACATAAACTGTATGTGATGTGCACTGAGAATCTGCAGGTCTCCACTGCGAACTGCGCCAGATTCTGTTTAAAAAGACTTGATTTGGTTCTTGTTCTACTCTCTGCTGTTCGTAACAAAGTCACAGTTTCTTCCAAATTGTAAATCGAGGTCAAGTCTCATTAAGTCACATTCATGCTGTCCCTTCCTCTCTCTCATTGTGATCAAATACAAAAAGCAGCAGCAAGCAAAGTGAAATCTCATTTACGCTAACATTACATGTCCGTCTAGAACTATGTCTCTTACCATGAGGATGTTACTTTGATGCACACCAGCTGCATATGTTGCTGTCCAAACTAACCCCTGAAGCATCAATACTCCCTTCAGCAGCCTCCCAAAACAAGACAGTGTCTGCAACACAACTAAAGCTGCTTATAAATGCACAGAGGAACATGACAAATAGTCCAAGACAGGTAGTCCTGACAGGAGTGAACAGCGAGGTGAGGCACACGAAAAAACAGCCTGAGTCAGAGTCACTGCTGCATCAACAGTCACATTTCAAATATTTGGTTGTAGTGTTTACAGTACAGCCTCTACTTTTGTTGCTGCTTATTTGGCAAGTAGTGACCAGGTAGGGTGAGGAAGCTCAAAGATGGCGACTCATTATGTAAAACCATCCATGCAGCTAGGTACACATTGAGCGTGTTCAAGTGCATCACCTTGAAAATATTTAGCACATGACTGGAATTTGAACTTGAAAGATGAAAAGAGCACACACAGTCCTGTTACTTTCAGAGTACAGCGCTGATTCGATAAACCTCAGTGCTGTAAACCACAGTCCTGAAAGGAATATAAAAAGTATTCATTAATATGTGCTTATGTACACCTTGATGCTTCCCATGCTGATGCTGATAACACGGTATTATCACATAATGCTAATGAATGTGGTTATAAACTGAAATTAAAACTATATGCAAAGAAAAAAACAAAACCCCAAAAAACCTCTCAAACAACTACCGAGCTCAGGTATTTAAACATGGAATTTTAACACAGCATACACAGAATAGCCTCAATGACACAAACAGCTGTAACAAAACAGTGCCTCAAAATAAAATGCCTCAAATATGTGAGGCATGAGCATGCATGTGGGGGTTTTACTGATGCCTTCTATTTCACCCTCTAAATGCTCTAATTAGAACATCTCTTCTTCTCCACTGCTTTTTAATACCTGCTGTTAAGGAAAGTACCTGCTGCACACATGCCTGTGGGTGGGTGCACACACACACACACCAATAAAAAAAAGTAATATGATGAAATTAATATATGCCTGAATGTAGTCTGTGAGTTCACGTTATATTCTTAAGAAAAAAAAATTACGTATCTCTGTTGGGACCAAAAATTGGAATGTTGCTATACCAACTAACAGCCCTTATGAGGACAAAATGCTCGTGGCCATGAATTTAAAGGCATTTTTAAGACCCAAAATGTGGTTTTAGTGTCAAGGTTACAGTTAGGCTAAACCTGACCGTAACCTAAGGGTTAGAGTAAACGGCTAAGGAAGGCACTATGTCAATTAGATGTCCCACTAAGATATGAAAACGCAGTGTGTGTGTGTGTCTGTGTGTGTAAGAGAGATGCTATTAGCTGAACAAAACTGGACTCTGTGATAATGATAAGCTTGGCAGCCTGCCAGGCAGACAGATAATACCACAGTAGTTGGTGACTGAGTGATTTCCACCAGAGGCCATTTCATCTCAGCAGCAGTCGTCAGCCTGTAGGCCAGGTCTCCAACAGTGGTCACGCAGTGATCCCAGGAATGTGAAAACAAATGTTTTTATAAGGGGTGAGCTGTAATGATAGGTAAACTACTCATTATATGCCTCGTCTACATATCTGGCATCAGTGCTCCAGTTTCACTCACAGGTAATGACAACTTGTCAATGAATAAAATAAAATAATAATAATAATGATAATTTTAAAAAAAGAGTTTCCACTATTTGTAAATATAAGTCATGAAATCTAGCAATGATAGTTATAATTCATATAATGAGGTAAGGAATACTGGAATATGTTTAAATTAAAACATTAAAGTCCACAGCTTTTCCATCAGTATTTTGTTTTCTTTTGTTGCAATTTAACTTTTAAAAATGTATTTATTTGTAATTCAGTGATCCTGAGCATTTTGTGGCTTATAATATTTTTGGGAAAACGAATGATGACAAAAAGGAAATATCCTTATTATTGGTGTTATTACTATTCATGCACATGGTGAGAGGTACTGTTTTGTTGTTGTTTATTAGTCATATTGTTTGTCATGTTTGTTTGTAAGTACACATAAATTCAGGTACAGATGTTTTGGTAAATCACTGATTTGTACATATATTTTTCATAGGCATGAATTATACACAGATTTGTGCCCATGCGCTGTTAGTAAATGAGCCCATTGTTTCAGTTTTGTGGTTCATTTTGAAAACCTATACGATGCTGCCATGTTTCTTTTAGAAAGAAGAGGTTTTCTGATGGACACACTTTCGAACAAGCCTGACTTTTTCAGTCTTTTTCCAACTGTGCCATCATGAACTTTAACATGTTAACTGAGGCCTCACAGTCTGAGATGTTGCTCTTGGGTTTTTTGCAATTTCTCTGAGCATTTCATGTTTTGACCTGAACATTGTGTTAACACACAGCTATATGGTCCAGACCAGCAAACTACCAAAGCCTCTGCCTTCATAAGGCACCTGGCTGCTAGATTCCCTCTTAATTCCTGTGGAAGCACATTTCACAGGACTGTACAGAGTCCAGTTTCAAGTTACTTTCTTTGTACTCGTTTGTAGATTTGGTCTGCAGTTAGTAGGTCATCCATCCTCATTCATGCACATTTTCAAAATAAACCCAGGCAACACAACAGATATGCATAGTAAAACATACTGAAAAAGGAAAAAGAAATACCTTACTGCTAAATGACCAGCAGTAAAACCAAACTTCCACAAAGCCTAAATTATGCCAAACCAGATGCAGAAAGTCAAATGTTTTTATATTTACTGTAACTTGAGGTCTCTTTGTTTGCGTGTTTTGTTTTTTAGACACTTCATACCAGATGGGTTTGCAAATTGCTAGGTTTACTATGAGACAGGAGGAGACTCTTTATAGTCCCTGCTTCCTCTTAACAACTTCAGAAAGTCTGGCTCCTGAAAAATGTTCAGAAGTTCAGCCAAGAAAGACACTGTGGGTTGTTTTTTTTTGTAAGTGATGCAGCGGGCGCAGTGTTTTGATCACAAAGTGGCTATTTTGCCCCAAGTTTGCATCTTCTGATTATGCCTGCTGTTGTGCATGTATGATAACATGTAGCAACAGCCAACAAGATCCACTACAATTATTTAGTGACTTTACTTATACAGCAGTCACCAAGACAACAGCTAGATTTCACTTTATAATGCATGGGAACCAGAGCAAACAAAGCAGTCTGTCACGAACACACTAAAAAGCACATCCACGCATGCATACATGCACACCTCCAAAAGTGATTAAACCCAGCAGGAGTGCAGGCCTCAGCACTCTTCTCCCTAGTTGCTGACAGCTTTGGTTCACATGCTTTGTGTGTGTGTGTGTGTG